AATACGTAATTGTGACCCACGAAATGTGTCTCTGCGACCATGGATAATTTGTGATTTATAAATAATATGTGACCTCTTAAATGTATGATTTGTGACTTAAATATGTAATTATGATATATAAATTATGTTTTTGTAATCATGACTTTGTGTGGTTTGTGACTGCTACGTGACCGTAATCATAAATTGTGTGTTACTATGACAGTGATCTGATTAATTAAATTATAAGTCACAAACTTTTACCGGGGGGCTACAAAATGCGGCCACTTGAATTTTGAAAATAATTCACAAGTTCGTTAATTTGGAAATTACATTAGCAAACCTTTGTAATTATGTAATTTTTTCATTTTATATAGGCCTTGTTTGAATTCCATTAAAATGAGAATTTGAGAACAAAATGCATTTTGGAATATTGAGTTTTTACTTTTTGGAGAATGTATAATTAAAAAATAAGAATTTTTTTTGGAATTATGTAATACGTGTAATATTATTTTATGAGAAAATGTGCCTTTAAAAAAGAACCCAAACATGGACATAGTCTATACACACCCTTTTTAGTGGATCCGTTACTTTTTTGTTGGGTGTCACATTTGCAGCATTACATTAAAAGAGTCGAATAATTTATATACATTTTCATGGCACAATTAATGTTATAGAGAATCCAATGTCAGATCATATAGTTTAGGAAAATTGCTCAAAACCAATGAAATTCTTCCATCTGTATTTCAATTACCTCACACAAATGATTATGCAACAAAATCAGATAAGATGCACAAAACTTTTCAACTCTGAAAACTGTATAATAAATGGTTGACCTGCAAAGGATTTGAAAAACAAAAAGAAGAAGAAGCTTTTTCCTACTACTAGTTTAAAGTTAGACAGGACAGTTAGGAGAGCATGCTTGGCCAGCTTAAAAGTAAGTTTAAAGTTACTTTTTAATTATGTAATTTTTGAAACCAAATATGTTTGGATTTACATGTAACCAGTTTATTTTAAGTAAAAAAAAAGAGAGATAAAAATTGTTGTATTTATTTTTATTTTTGTTTCATTTTTTCGCGTTGCTTTTTTTTTTTTAATTAAGAAGGAAATTCCGAATCTAAAGTAATTACTATAAAATAAGTAACTTATTTTGTTATAAATTATAAGTTTGACCAACAAATCAATTATGTTACCCCAAGAGAGAGAAACTGATAGAAATATTCCAGCTCATGATTATAATGCAATTCACTACAGGCTTATGTTCAAAAACACTGAATTGTAGACCAAATATTAATCCATCTATTGCAAATCATATTCAAACTTGAAATATGAAAAGCGATTGACATATCAGTTAAGCCATATTTTTATATTAAGATTAATTATATGAATCTATTTTCGTCACGGCATTATAGGGTAGGAGCGAAAAAAGCTCTTTACCAGACTTAGCCTAGTTGACTTAGTAGTTCTTCCTAAATGACTTTGTTTCCAAAGCAAGAAAATTTAGTGGCACTCTAACGGTAAGTTGATTAACAATTATTCGATCGATTGCTCTTATCCTTCCTTATCAGAGAATTTCAAAAATTAGTGAATAGAGATTTTTCATTCCAATTTCCGTCCCCCTGCCCTGGCCCTTTCGACCTTCTATTTCAAAACCTAGTGAATAGAGATATGTCAGTCCAAGCTAGCTTGCCAGTCATTAGTTGAAATCGAAATATCTGCAAGATCGAGGTCACAAGTCATTTTTCTTTTGGACCGACAACCAGCTCATTCAACAAAACCTCACCAAACGTTGGCATCCTATATATGGCCATACTCAATCTCCTCGGAGGGTTTCCTTTCTGGGATTGAATCCCTTGTACATGGCAGAGTCATAGTAATGAGTTACACAAGAGTATAGCACATCCAGTCCCCCCTTAGTTGTTGCCCTGATATCAACCCTCTCTTCCAGATCCTTGCTTTTGTGGGCCAAATCGCTTTCCTTGAGAGTTATGATTCATTAAGCTAATGTGCGCAAAAGAGATGCGGTCAACCACATCTGCTGTTTCAGTAGAAAACGAACCTTGGGGTCACAGATCCTTACAATTGGAAGATTATCAAGGTCTTTCTAAATCTTTCCTAACCGTAGAAATGGTTCGAATGGGAACAAGAAAAAAAAATTCCATGTTAGAATTTCATATCAAATGTAAAAGAATTTACATCAACACCAACTAAAAGCGCAAGATTGATTTTTTTTTTCCCAATAAGTAAATTCTGAATTAAGATAAGCACCTTCTGCATCTCCCTTGTTAGTGTGGCGTGGATTAGCTATGAATATGACATGAAAAAACTAGTTTCTGTCAAAATACAAAACAAAATAAGCAATTTATTGGAAAAAATGACAAGTTTATATTCTTGTTCCTTGAAAAAAGGGAAAAAAATTTCTCGAAAATGTACAAAAAAGAGAAGGGAAATGGCATCACTCACTTGGCTGGCCATCAACGACGTCTCCGCAGGGTTTCCCGGTTTCGAAAATCTTCAGAAGTTTCTCAAAGAGAAATTTTCAGAGCTATTTTGACAAGCTGGCCGCCTCCAAGTTTTCATCGTTGAAAGTGAAATTTCACCTCGTGATAAGAGTTTCTAATGGAGGTGGACAGAATGCCAAAGTAGCTCTGCAATGTTTCTCCTGAGAAACCCTAGAGAGAGAGAGAGAGAGAGAAGAGGAGAGATAGACATAGAGAATGATAGACGTGCTAATTTTATGCTGACTTTTTGGAATACAGTAGTGGGTTTCTTCCTAGAAAGAGGATACATGCATGAGCACGCATGCATGTTGTTTGTACGATCTGTGGGGTTTTGCTGCCTTTTTCCTATTCTTTCTTTTCTTTTATCGTGTGAAAATAGACGAGTCCATGTTGAAAAATTACGAGAATTAATATTGTGATGCAAGTAACATGAGGCCGTAATCAATTTTTGTCACATATCGCACTTCAGAGTGCATCAAACATTATAGTCTCAAATTTAGGGACGACAACAAAATAGGTCAGGACTTAGAACAATCATTTATCCCCTTGTCCCCACCTCCATTCCCGCTTAAGGCAGGACGGGGAGGGATTAGGGGTTCGGGGTGTCCCTTCCCCATTTACCATCTCATTTATTTTTTTTACTTAAAAAAATAATGATTCTCCCCCCCCCCTTTTTTTTGGGTGTGTGATCATAAACTTCTATCTTGAAATGAACTTTAAATGGAGTGGGGATCCTGTTTCCCGTACTCTTCCCGTTCCTTCCCAATTTCCGTCTCGAGGTAACAACTCTCTCCCATCTCCGCCTTGAGTACCCGATTGTTATGGAAAATTTTCCACCCTGAAGGGTCCCATGAATATCGAATTTAACGTATTCGTTTTGCCATTCTTTATCGTAATGCGCAACTATTTGCAATTCCACACCACATGTCATAGTCAACCAATTTTTTTTTTTTTTGTCACATATGTCGCATTCCAAAAAGTGAATTACACGGCACATGTACCCGCAAGTGCTTGTACCATTCCTTAAGTAGTAGTTACTGTATACAGACTTGTGGATTGTTTTCTCTTCTGAATTTTTCGACCATAGTATTTGTATATTTTCCTTAAGCCCTGTTTGGCTTCATTCAAATTATAATTCATTTTTGCCCTCTTCTTATTAATCACACATTTTTTAATAAAATAATATTATACATAAATTCAATTTTTTTTTTTAACCACATTCTCCAAAAAATTATTATTCAAAAATATATTTTTTTTTCAAAATTTAATTAAAATGGAGGCCAAACAAGGGCTAAATTCCTCGAGGTACAACAAAGATGAGCAAAGTTCAAAGCACAATCTTGTGAAGCAAGAATGCAAATTAAACCAATATAGCTTTGTTTGACCCTATGATTCTGATTGCTGTTATCGTGTTCTTTTTTTTTGACTTTTGCCGCAAAAGAAGAGTGCAAACTGGATTGCCATTGTCTACCACTAACCATATAATTACATTATTACATTGTCAACACACATCCCACTTCAATTAACCTTAAAGGAGATTGTTTGTACTAAAATGTAAAAAATATTTCACACTATTTTTGTCAAATTTTAGAAAAGTAAATTTACTTTTAGCCCCACATATTTAAATAAAAGTTGATGAAATATGTGATTAAAAAATTGTGAATCCCACGAAATATGTGATTCAAGTTAATTGCTGACTTTGATTTTGATTAAAATCTAAATTTAATCCCTATCAAAAGGGACCTAATAATATTTTCTGTACGAATAGATATGAACTTAATAATATTCTAATTAATTTGAACTCGTGTACGTATCCGTACACTTTGTTCTTCGTATATCTCATTGAAAATGGGGGTGATTAACCAAAAAAGAAAGAAAAAAAAAGTCATACCAAGATATAACTCGGACTTCAATATTATAACGTGATGTACTTAATAAGATGGATAGGACAATAGTTAAGTTGTGTTTGTTATATCTCTACCCGTTTGGTGGATATTAAAATAAGACTTTTAATAAATTTTAATAAAAGTTGATGAGATATGTGATTGAAAAGTTTTGGGTCCCATGAAACGTGTGGTTAAAATTAATTGTGAATTTTGACTTGAAATTTTAATTATATTTTAATCCAAACCAAACAGATGGTCATAGCATAGTAGTTAAAATTAATTGTTGACTTTGACTTGAAATTTTAATTGAATTTTAATCCAAACCAAGCAGGTGGTCATAGCCAAACCAAACTAGAGGTGAAAAGTGTAAAAGAGTAAACTTTTTACTATGACTGACCGTAAGTTCATTTGACAGTTGGTTCCAGGAAGAAGCATTCATGATTTTGCTCTAGACGTGGTTGACCGTGAAACCGTTACTCATTTTCCTTTGAAGTAGTACCAAGCACAATCGAATACAACTTTCAAATAAACGATCAACAAATATGAAAGGAGAAAAGATGTACTAAAGTTTGCTCGTATAATTGTTTCTGCAATCGCAATACGAAATCCGGTACTTCAGTAGTTTTCGTATAATGCATTAGGAAGGTATTTCATATAAAGGATCCACCATTTTGAGAATAAACAGGTTCCCCTTATCACCTCTCGATACCCTGCAAGAAAAGGAGAGGTCCATGAATTCCATTAGAACTTCATGTTTTTCACTAAGAAACATATCACATTAGATCATTAGCTCTTGTGATCAGCCAAAAAAAGATTTGCAAAAACATCATTAGGTTCTAGCACTGCAAAACATGTTGGGGGTATCAATCAGTGAGCAGCAATGGCGTTGCATGTTTGGTAAGATGAACCAGACGACACTGGACTCATTATCAAGGAAGAGAATGGAGATAAAATTTTGTCTAGTACTGCATATCGGATAGAACTTAATTTAATATGTAGACGGGATATTAACTCGTGCAGTTGCATCCCTCGAATTACTGTTCTCTACGACCCAGTCTTGGCGTGCTTGCTTTTAAGGGCCGAGAGAAGGATTCTCATTAAAAGCTAAGAGTATTGAACAACTACTTCTAGAACCAATTATATGCTAGTACCTAACAAGAATCTTGCCACAAGAACCAAATTTCCCAATAAAATCAAGGTCACGGACATGAATCACTTTCTGTCACTTCATTAAATCCATTGCTAGATCTACACAAAATATTATAGATTCTTAACAATTATTACTAGTCACGTTACTTTTGGTCTACCTCCGTCTTCTGATATGTTCTACTGAGATCACGCTACTCTTATGAATGAGAGCATTGTACATAATGGACAAGTAATATTTTGTGCCACTTCTCAGACCCATTGGCCACTTATATATGGATCTTGGTTTACTTTCTATTTAGAGTTGATGGGAAAAAAAAAAAAAAACAGCGTAACTAGTAGAGGTCATAAAATTTAAATCCAGTTCATCAACTGACCTTAACTCTACATCCAGGTAAGTAATTTCCAGCTCGCCTCGGGCTCTTTCCGGAGCTTTCACCGGTATCTGTTCATCACAATGTCATTAATCAGCATATTGTATAATATACTCATTGCAATAATTCTGAAAAGAATGCCTAGCTTGCTCCAAGGACCAATGACATCCCAAATTATTAAGCTTATGCTAATTTGTGTGCGTCTAATACGTTATACGATAATAGATGAAGTTCAGATTTAAGGCATAACAGCAGAAGACCTAACACAAGTTTTTATCAACTACGTGTACGGTGTAGTTAACAAGGAAACAACACTTACCAGCCCTCCAATTTTGAAATAATCAAATTTTACAGCCACCTTTCTTGCACTCAAAGGAATTAAATCGGCTGTAACCTACAAAATGACGAGTTAGAAGAAAAATGTCAGCAAACTATGCATTTTCAGGGAAATGTTATCTTGTCCAAATAATTAGAGATAAATGAAGTAGCATTCAAGTGTTGGAAGGCTAAAGAATCAGTTTATGGGAGAGGCATACGGAACACTTTTGCCCCTTGGATTATTTATATTAAGTCAGTTCCGATTTCCGAAGGACACGGAGAAAATGTCATCAATTTCAGATTGGTTCTACAAAAACACAAAAATATCAATGATGTTGGCTATATAATGGAAAAATCTGTCAAATGACAATAGCTGTGACCAGTATTGGACATGGGACTTCTATTTCACGTTTGGAATGCTAGTGTAGACAATATTTGACAAGTGTTAAGGAAGTCAATATGTTGTCTATTATGCTATATATTATTGTCTAATACTGTGTACAAAACAGGCTGTTAGGGATTTGAGAAGGTGGACTTTTGTATCGAAACGTATTCGGGAAACTGTAATGCATAAGAAATCCACACGTGTGAGTGTATTGTGGGAACAAGGAAGAAAGCAAGTGTTCAAAGGGAGAGTGGAAATTAGACAATACTACACAGCAAAGTGGCTAAAAGAACGAGTTAGATACCTGATTGAAGAATGGCCACGATTCCATATTCTGAGCTCTAAGTCTATCCGAGTCAATTGCCTGATAGTTTGTTCTGGATCTCAGAAGCTTTGGTCTCTGCTCAAGAGTGTTAAATTGGTGGGCAATTTCAACAATTACGCAGGCATGAAGAAAAATTCAAAAGAAATCACTCTCTGGTAACAGCTTCAAGAATAATTATATCATTTGAGGGGAAAAATGCAGTTTAAAATCCATAACTTTATTCCCTTTCTATTACATTTACAGGTATTTCCTCAGCAGCCATTTCTGCAATTGGATCCCCCAACATCAAGAAATTTTACAAGAAGAAACATATCCAACATTCAGTTTTACCTGAGTTTGCAAAATTGATTTCGAAGTCGTGTATATGAGTTCCCATTTCCCATTCAGCAAACTAGACTTCAGTGGCTCCTTCGTTGGATTGACTGCCTCAAGTTTGCGAGCTATCTAACTAAGAACAAAGTCGAAAGGAAAATAAAAAAGGATGAAATTAAACTTCACCTATCTCCTGAAGAATCGCATTACAATATATTCACTAGTAATGCAAGTTATTTTGCTACAAGCTATGGCCTAGAATTATTCAATAAACAGTAAATGTGCAAGAAATAAGCAGGTGAACTAGATATCACTAGTGTATTCAGATTCAAAAAAGGTTGTGCAAACGCAATTAAGGTCCGCCAGCATTACTTATGCTGACTTGTCCTTTCTCTTCTATAAGGAAAAACAATGAGAACCAAAACCAATTCTTTGATAACATGCAGTTGACCCTCCTTTAACTAATAAGCCCGAAGATGGAATGCTATTAATTCAGAGAAATATTTATTATAATGTACTAAAAGACTCTCATAGCATCTATTCAATATCAGATCATACTTGGACACAAATTTAAATAATTTATATCCTATATAAATTCATTATGTTCATACTCAAAATGGAATAAACCAACAAAAAAAATAGTTAACCTTAATTTCCAAAGACTTGTTATCCTTAAATAGAAGATAACAAGAAATGAAGAAACAGAAAAGCAAAAGAATAAACCTGATCAACTCTTTGCTGATCTTCAGGAGTGGCTTCAGCACCACGATCAAGGGGTGCAATCGCTTCAAGAAGCTGTAGTTTGATGGACTCTGCATTCTTGGTTTTGTTGTTGAAGAAAGCAGGGAAGAATGAAACGTGGGTTCTCCACTTACTGTAATCTGGTCGGGAATTGGTAGAGGTGTTGGTTGAGACGTTGTTTGGGTAACGGGTAGGTGGAAAGGATAAGTTGGAGACGGTGGAATGGAAAAGTTCGGGGAGCGAAGCTGAAGCGGAGTAGGTGGTGAGCGATGGTGGCGGAGGAGAGAGTGCGGATAAGGCCATGGAATTGGAAGAGTGTGGCGGTGGACACTCACTCCTATTGGAGATGGTTGAGTAGTTAAGTTTTGTATGGTCAAGAAAGAGACACTTAAGACCATGCGTGGCAAAGCTTCAAAAGTGATGTAAAAGTGAAGAGTAACGTTATTTATTCTTAGTGGGGATGAAAAAACAGTTTATGTGATTTTAAATGAAAAGTTAAATGAAAGATGAAATTAAATGACTTATTTAATTTCACCTATCATTTAATGTCACATTGACGTCACGTAGACTGTGTCTTCATTTTCAGTGAGGATGAATAACATTATTCAAAAGTGAATATCAAAATAATTAGCTTTTCTATTAATAAATGTAAAAAAATGAAAAGTTTTTCTAGGAGTGTTTTCTTGTTTTTAACTTGGGTCATTTTTTTGGAAATCCGTAAATTATTCATATAATTTTGAGCAGTTATCTATTGTATGATGTTAGGTTGGCTAAAAATTTTGATGTAATTTATGATCAATCAAAACATAATAATTTTGTATCATTGCGCGGTGGGTTTTAATTTAAGCGAATTCAAAAGGATGTATAAAACACAAAAGTTAGAGACTTTCTATAGAAAAAACTTCCTCAGAAAAAGGTGTTCGAAAATTAATTTCTAAAAAACTTCATCATCTCTCGAAAAATATTTTAGAAAAAGTCATAAGCTTCTTTTAAAAGTTCTTCTAAATAAAAAAAAAATATATTTTATAAAATTAATCAAATAAATTCAAAAGTAATTTTTGAATCTCAAATTTTCATTGACTTCTTAAGAGCATGCCAAATGGCCCTTAGTCTCTTGTCACAGTTGTTTTACCCATACCAAAGTGGTAAGTTCTTGGCCATTTGATATGGCATAAAATTTGATGAGCTCGGCTAAAGGAACTGTGGGGATGACTGCGCCGGTGACTGCACACACACACATGGGGGGTTGGGATTATTTTATTTGGGTGAGACCTGCGCCTCGACTGTGAAGGCACGGTCATCCATGCGGATCGTCTAGCATTTTTCAAAATTTGATAGCAAACACATAAATGCATCACACGAGGCACAAAGCCCCCAACACACGCATAAGATAAGCCCATATTTTGTAGGGGATTAAAATAAAATTTTTAATAAATTTTGATAAAAAATTATAAAATGTATGGATAAAAAATTGTGTATCCCATAAAATATATAATTAAAATTAATTGTTGACTTTAATTTAGATTAATTTTTTTTACCAAACAAGGACTAAGCCCCTGTTTGGGAGCCATTTTCTTCTTTCCATTTAGAAAAATTTCAACCGTTGGCACATGACAGCTGACAACAAGTACACTTCTCATTAAATCAAGCAGTGAAACAGCAGTACATTTGGACGATTATACCCTTTTGTTGCAATGGAGACTACCGCATGGTAAACGGCAAAACCGGAATTTGTGGGAAAAGTGGACAGGACAATCATCGATTTGCTGTAGCAAAAAAGGTTGATTTGACCGAAAAAATGTATTTTTCCTCCTGAGAATGGCTACCAAACGGAGCCTAAGTGATTTTTCCAAATAGCTCCATCGGCTAAGTTGAAGACATGATCATCGAGTTTAGGCTCGATTGACAGACTCTAACTTGCAACATGATGAATATACGATTGACATAAATACAACCAATCAACTTGTCATATTACTCAGGCGTCTTGGATAACACAATCGACTTCCAACATAATCAACAAAGAGAGATGAAAGCATACATCATCAAGACTAACGGTCCATTTGACATATATTTTAAAAAGTCAAAAAGAAATTTTTGAGAACCAAAATTGCTTGTGAATCCATTTAGTTAATTTTATAAAAGTACTTCTCCTAATTAGAAAAGCTATCAGAGAAAATTGATCAAATGCGACTTCACTAAAAACTCTATCGAAAGAGAGCTTTTTTAGAATTTAATTTTGAAACACCTGTTAAGGTAACTTACGCATAAAACTCTTTACAAGGAGCAGAAGCAAAAACATACGTCCTATCAAATAAGTCCTAAATAATTAATATTCCATGTCGTTGCAAGGTGAAAAAATCGAATTTTTTTTTGAATTTAGGTGTAATATTATTTTATTGGTCTGAAAAACCAAACTGATCTATTTTAAAGTAAACAAAAATAAGAGAAATGGAGCAGTGATCCAAAAGAATACAAGTAAAACTCAAAATCACAACCTCTTATCTTTGTTCTTTTGCTTGGCATAATTCTTGAGATGAAAATTAATAAAAAGTGCCAAAAGCGAAGCATTAAAAACTGCATTGAAGCACCATCCCCAGATCCCGGAGCAATCCGACCCGGTAAAATGGTAGTACAGCATCAAACCCGAAATCAAGAAGCTAAAAACGAACTGAATAATCTGAAAATCCGTCACCAACCTCTTCCACCGTGGACGAATCCCAATTGCGCATAGCAAGTAATAAGCGTACATTACCACGTGCACGGAGGCATTGGTCACGAGGGCCACTGGGAATAGCGACTGCGCGGTGGACAGCCAGAGGAAACACATTACGACCACCACGCCGTGGTGGTACACGTGGAGGAAGGAGAGGCGGCGGGACCGAGATTCACTGAGGAGGATCAAAAGGGTATCAATGAATTCGAGGATTTTGGAGAAGTAGAAGACGTGAGCCCAGAAGAAGGTGGGACCCTTAGGCTGGGTGCGGCCGGCGGGGAAGCAGATGGGCCAGGTGGGGTCATTTGGCGGCATCTGGTGGAGGCTAGAGAGAGTGCAGCCAAGGGCCATGAGAAATGAGAGAAGGCAGAGGATTAGGTTGTGGGTGGCGGTGATGAGGCGGAGGGTGGCGGCGGGGAGAGTGGGTAGGAGGGGAAAGTGGTGGAGGGTAAGGGTGAGAGTAAGGTAGACAAGGACAGTGAGTGTGAGGAAGAGTGGGGTGGCGCCGGCGGTTTGGCCAGGAATCCATTCGTATTGAGCGATGAATGGGTGGTCAACTAGCCAGTAGTGGACGGCGGTGTAGAGAGTATTCATCACGCGCCACCGCAAAGGAAGGTGGGTAGAGGAATGGATGAGATTTTACCCGGTCGTGGTGTAAAATCGTCCTCGTTCGCTTATCTTCAAGCTGTTTTAAACATTTTTGGATCTTATATCGATTAGTCCCTCAACTTTAAGGCTTGCTTTAATTTGGTCACTATACTTCAAAAAAGTCCAATGCAGCATACAGTAAGTCCACGTTTGCCATGACAGCTAACAAATTTGAGCCGACCGAGTTGGAAGGAGGGATTCAATAGAAGCAACTTATTGCCACCTAAACTAGTGTTATAATAAAGATGGTTCTAAATAGCTTGCTCATCAAGAGAGGGATTATGGACTGTACTTGCGGACAGTTCATGAACATAGGACTATGAAGACTACACTAAAAGGTTTCAGTCAAAGTTAGGATACTTTCCATGTACTGATGACTGACGTTCTTGCTCATTTAGGATTATAGCTCATGAACCCAATCCTCCAGCAAACTGATCATTCCATGCTCGTCGACCACCCCTTGGGAAGTCCTTTTCTTTCTTTCTTTCTTTCTTTTTGCTTTAACATGGAGGACAATGTTGTCCAAAATTTTCTAGTATTTTATGTGAATCTATGAGCTTAAGAGTGTTAACCATCGGCTGCACCACTTTTCTTTCAAATTGGACATGTTCTCTCTCTAGCTAACCGAGAGAAAAGCGAAAGACATGTTTATTTTTTGCACCATGCTTGGTATTATTTGATTCAACACAACAACGTTTATGGTAAATTAAATTTCTTCCGTTTTCCCCCATGAAGTGGGGGGCGGAGCCAGAAAGATACGTTAGGGTGGGCAGAAATTTAATTTTTTTCCGAATGAACTCATAGAATAAAAGATGCTCTATACCACTCCAGATTTAGTTTAAAATGTTAAATTCATAACACTCATACTAATGTAGGTCATAATATATTTTACGATACTCATAACAAAGTTCTAACAAATATATTTTTAACTAACAAAATTAAATATAGAGTATATTACTTATTTTGATTATAACATCCATTTCATGTTCGAAATAAATGAATTCTTAACTTACAAGTATAAATAAGTAATATATGAAAAAATATGTAAGAGAAATTTTAATTACTTTCAAGTTTAGTCAAAGATGTGGCATTTCATACTGTTCAAATATGTCATTTATCTTTAATTAATAAAAAAAATATTTGTTATCTAATAAATTAATTTGATTATAAGTGAACTCTTTAAACCTACTTATATATGTGTGTGTGAAATAAAATATCTAATTTGGTAACGAGTTATTT